CTGGCTCGGATCCCACAGAGTAGGAGTTCCATAGAAGCCATATTAAGGAGAAATTGCAGCTCGACTCTCAGTCCACCCGTCGGCCGCTCCAAACAAATACACACTGGACTAACTGTTAAGTTTGAGGTATGACTCCAGTTGGCAACCTTCCAAGCCATGGCTTTCAGTGCACCGTGGTATCTTCAAGCGCGTCAGATTTTTTATAATGGGGAACATGAACTGAGACGCCGACCTCACTCTCTATATACATTCCCAGACACTAGCCACCGTCCGAGCCGGTCAGTGAAGTGCTGCGGGAAATGGGCGCAACAACTAATATGCCTATTCACCTCATTTGCACGCACTATGGTACACGAACTGTCCCCCTCCGCCTCCCAAACACAAGCTTCATTTGAAAGGAGTGACGCGTTACCGAAGGATTGAAGAAAAAACGCGGAAGTCTCATTGAACAGATGTTGAAAAAAAGCCTGAAACTGAATCGGGGGCCAGGCAGTATCAGTAAGGACGATTTAGGGGTCCAACTTCTCAACGCGTATTAACGGCTCACACTGGAAACCGCAGACACATTCCAGCTGACCAAAAAATAACGCAAGTTACGACGCGGAACACCGGAAGTATCTTTTAAACCTATCCCACTTCTCTACTTTCGTATCGAACAGACTGGATGCCGTGCATGCGTCCATATGAGGGACGTCTAGAGCTTATCCTGCTATCACAATTCACAAAACTTCAATCTGACTCTCGTGTCAGTAAGAATCCAGGGATTTAACGTCTCACTGGTAAAGACTAGAAACAGCGTGAAACCGACTACTAAAGCACCATCTAATAAAGGCGGAAGAAAAAACGTAGAAACTAGAATAGGTGCACTCTAGACACTAAGAAGGCCAATTCGGGCACCTTAAAATCTGTTGTTCTCTCCACATCGATGGACGCGAGATGCCAGTCTGGGCTGTGTTCGTGCAAAGCGCTGGCATTCCAAAGGCTTTCGTCGGAGCTAAATACAAGCGTGTAAACTTCGCGCAGGAGTATCACAAACCCTACCACATGTTGATAATCACCCCAGTGATCGGGTGGGGATGCGGCGAACATGAGCTGAAAGCGGACGATATTTAAGGATGAACAGAAGAGAATACACTGTTCGGGGTGCTAACAAGGCAAAGCGACCAAAAACGATGAGCAAAGCAGGAGGACTAAGAAGAGGACAAATGGAGAAAGACTGTTATAGTTGTGCGCAATCGAATTAACGAGACATTCACTACTACTGACCTTGAAGTCAGCATCGCTGGAGGGTTTCAAATCAATTGACGCTAGGATCCACGAAGATGCTCCAGTGTGGGTCAGGTTTTGGCTAGCCTGCCAAACTGGTTCAGTAGAGCTACATGCGTCTGTTAGGAAT